ATCCGATAAACTGCTCCATTTTCAATTATGAAAAGTCATAAAATGTTACTTTGGAGTACCGTTTTGATACTTAAAGCAAAGTATTCTGCTTTGAAAAGTATGTTTTATATTTTATTTAATTTAAAAATTTTTTAGCCGCATTTATAATGTGTAACAAATAGCTAAAAAAAGTCGCCTTAAACTTAATCTTACTACTACATACATTCATTAGTATATACACTTGCGTAAGAACAGGGGGAGCGGAGGGGGCGATAGCCTTCCTCCTCCCAACTTAAACACTTGGTGGCGGACACTGTATTTAGCCCCCACCTTCCCTCCCTCCATTTTCTAAACAGTTTTAAAAAAACTTTTATGATAGCAACAGCAGAATTATCATTTTCCAGTCTGCAATGACTCAAAGTTAATGGTACCTTCCATGTTAATCCCTTTGATCTGGCAAGAGCTGGCATCGAACCTTGGAGCTCTTGGTTCTGAGCCAGGACTCTAACCTTACTTTGCTATGGCTATTTTATTATATTAGTAACAGTATCAAGTTATGATTAAGACAGTGATTTGGCTAGGAGCTAGCTATAAATGCAAATGATCTGCTAGCCAAAAATTTTATTTATTTTTACATTTTATCTTATTTGCTTAATATTATTCACATTCATAACCCAACTTGATACAACAAGTGATACTGTTTGATGCTTGATCTAAAGTATGTTGAAAACTACAAAGCTGCAGAATGTAGCTATTGAGTAGTTATAGACTTGTTATTATGTTACATCAAGCTTTAATGATACAATAGAAATAATTTTGCCAGCTAAACAGCTGAGCTGTGTATACAAACCACAGCTTGTTAGTGATATCGTCAGCCTATAGATTTATTGTTATGTTTTAGCAAGCTACAAAACTAAAATATGTAGCTATCAACAAGTTTTTATAAAATGGCCAAAATAAAAACCCATGATAGATATACATTTCACAGTTTTTTAGTAAGCCGTTTTAAAACAATAGAGCTATAGTAATTGTTATATATATATATATATATATATATATATATATATATATATATATATACATATATATATATATATATATATATATATATATATATATATATATATATATATATATATATATATATATATATATATATATATATATGTGTGTGTATATACTTGACAACAAGGGTAGCAATAATCCCTTGAAATATAATATGAAAATTAATTTCAAATAAAGAGTTTCATCCATAATAGAAGTTTTTTATAAATTACATTAAATCGTAATTATATCAATACCTACAAAACTGTAATATCTAGACGGTGACATTTTGTAAGAAAATTGAAATGATATTTTCCATATGAAACCAAAACTAAAAACTCAATTTTTAGTTTTGGTTTCAGTTCGTATTTATGATAAGTTCAGCTATTATCATAAATACGAACTGAAACCAAAAATAAAAATTGAGTTTTTTATAAAGTAAATAACAAAATGATTAAGTAATGTAAGAAAAAATTGCTTAGCTAGCTAGTTGCTAGCTAAGCGCTAGTTTTTTTTAAATTCATTTTTATATCAATAATTATTATTATATTTATGTAAGTAAAATGTTAAATTTATGTGATAAAAAAGTTAAAAAGATAACGTTCTGTAACAAATAAACTAAATCAAAGTTTAAAACACGTGTTTTAAACGTTAAATAAACGTATTAATCCGTATTAAAAGCAGCAGACCGTTGAACTTTGTAGGTAGTTCTAGATTTTTGTAGAATGATGTAGAACACTCTAGAAATGTGTAGAGTTACTAACCGTGGCTATATAAACGATTTCTGCACTAGCTTTTGTTGTTGATGTTGAATCACTAATTGATAAGGTTAAGAAAACAATTGAGAAAAAGAAATAACTTTTTATTGGGCACTGTCAAATTAAATAAGCAGATATTATTTGGTGGTTATTAAATACTGTTACTGGACTTACTTTACGAAAATATATTTACTAAAATAAATTTACTAAAATATATAAAAATATACGCATTGCATAACTTACATAAATTAGATATAACAGTGAAAACAATCATTATATATTTACTTACTTTCGATTTTTATCTTTAAAACTAATATAACTTTATAGAAAATGTCACACAAGGAAAATTTTAGCCCTGTAGAGAAGAACAAGAATTTTTGGGCCAAAAATCTGATAAAATCTCAGCAGCCGCATAAAAGGTGGGGCGCCGTGCCTTCGCAAAATTTTTACTCGAAGAAAAATGCAAAATACAACTCAAAAGCAAGTTATTCGGCATTACCAGTTTCTTAGAGTTGAAATTTAAAGAATAAAATGAAAGAATAACGAACATTTCCAAAGAGGTTTGAAGTTTAGGGAAGAATAAAGTTTTCCTAATATATTCAATCAAATAATGCAAGCAAAACTTTTATTTGTGTTAAAAACTTAAAATGTATTAAACGAGGAAAATATGACGCAATAGACAAACTGTTTAATATCACAAAAGCTAACGGAGTAAGTTTGTCAGCTAAAGATAAACAATTCTTTTATCTACAAGTAGAAAGTCGAGGAAAAGTTGATTATGCCACCTGTAAAGAAGCATGCAAGACTTAAGTAGAACAAGTTAAGAAGAAGTTGTAAGACTTAAGTAAATGTTTTCACCAAAGGAACTTGACAAATCGTTGATTATTTTTTTCCAGCATCACGCGCTTGATAAGATTCTACGTGTGGTCATGGATGAGAAAGTTGAAGAAAGCACTAAGTAAGCAATTATTGAATATCCTTTTGTACCTTAGTTGATGAACAGTTATGAGGTATTGCAAGCAAAATTTGTAAAGAGAACAGATTTGATTAATGAAATGTCAGGTTGGACAGATGACATGAAGTTCTTGTATTAACTGACACTTATGTTAAAGTTTTCTGAAAGAAAAGGATATTTCTTACTTGTTAACTTTAAAAAGTTCCCAATATTAGTAATGCACGTTGGAATTCAAGAGCCATCCTTGAATATATATATGTATATATATATATATATATATATATATATATATATATATATATATATATATATATATATATATATATATATATATATATATATATATATATATATATATATATATATATATATATTTATACAGGGCCAGCGCGAGTAGGTGTCACGTGGGGGAGGGGGTGCTATTACAACTTTTGCTGACTAAAAAAAATAAAAAATTAAAAAGAAAGTCCTCGTTATCGAAAATGCCATGATGACATTTCCCGACTAACTGTCTAAATTACCGACTAACCTATATCGAAAGGGTCGATATTTGCCGACTAACTAGTCAAAAAGGGTCAATTTTGCCCACTAAAAATCATTGATGGGGGGTTGTCACCCCCCACATCCCCCTATCGCGCCTATATATAAATATATATATTCATATATATAATATATATATATATATATATATATATATATATATATATATATATATATATATATATATATATATATAAATATACATACATTTATATATTATATATATATAAATATATATATATATATATATATATATATATAAATATATAATATATATATTTATATATATATGTATATATATACATATATATTTATATATTTATATATACATAAATATATATATATTTATATATATATATATATATATATATATATATATAAAAACATATATATATATATATACATATATATATATATATACACACATATATATATATATATATATATATATATATATATATATATATATATATATATATATATATATATATATATATATATATATAGTCTTGCATGTCTCTTGCGTAGCATCAAAAAATATTTCCCATAAACTGTAGTTTTAAAGAGCGCGTTAATAAACCAGACTAGAAAAAGTTTTAAAAATTAAATTTTTTTTTTTAATTGATAGACTGCCTGGCCAAACCAAACCCTCAGTCGATGTACCAGCATTCTCTTGCGAGTCAGGCTATTTGTCAGTCGATGTAGCAGCACTCCCTTGCGAGTCAGGCTATTTGTCAGTCGATGTAGCAGCATTCCCTTGCGAGTCAGGCTATTTGTCAGTCGATGTAGCAGCACTCCGTTGCGAGTCAGGCTATTTGTCAGTCGATGTAGCAGCACTCTGTTGCGAGTCAGGCTATTTGTCAGTCGATGTAGCAGCACTCCGTTGCGAGTCAGGCTATAAGATAGTCGATGTAGCAACATTTACGCATGTTTAAAAAATGTTTTTTATTAAATCAATAACAAAAACACCACTAATTAAAAAAAACTTTCTAGTCGTTATAATTGCGGTTTTTTAAAAATTTGTTAAAAAACAATTAAATTTAATGTACTTCCGCATAAATTAATTGCTTTGACATTTCGATGACAATCAAAAACAGCTTAAGAGACGAGGTAATTAAAATTGTAGTCGTAAGAGACTTTTTTGCTCTTAAAGCGACACTATATGAGTATATATATATATATATATATATATATATATATATATATATATATATATATATATATATATATATATATACCTATATCGAAAGGGTCGATATTTGCCGACTAACTAGTCAAAAAGGGTCAATTTTGCCCACTAAAAATCATTGATGGGGGGTTGTCACCCCCACATCCCCCTATCGCGCCTATATATAAATATATATATTCATATATATATAATATATATATATATATACCACTAGATGATCTTAGAGTCGACAGCAATAAAATACCCGCGGAAAGTCGACACTGCAAAAATCAGTCTAACATTGTCAATTTTAATTTTTTTTTGTCGAAAATCAAAGGAATGGCTTCTTTTTCTCTTGGCAATTTTATATTTCATAACTTTAATTTGATTTTCAATATTAAGTCGACTTAACGTTTTCGAGCAAATTTTTTTTGTTGTAAGTCGACTTTACCCTTTTTTTTTATTATATCTTCCTAAAGTCGACAATAAAAAAAAGTGGTTATTCTGGATTACAATTCTTATAAATACAAGGGCCGGTATAAAGAAAAAATGCCTGTTTTTGTAACACAAGTATCACCGTGGCTTAAGAATTATCTTTTTTATATTTAAAAATGTTTTTAAGTCTGATTTTTGTTTTAGATTCTATTCAATTACATTTGAATATCGTTTATTCTTTGGGAGACGATTCGCATCTTTTTTGCTCTTTCGTTAGTGATTTTATTTCTAACTGTACCGTAGCCAAACCCGTATTTTATTCCAAATTCAGTCATTTCTTGTCGACCTATAATAGATAAAATATGTACTATATTTGAAAATAAAGATTACAAACATTTCTACTTAAATCAAAAGTAAAATAAGAATCATTTTGTAATATTTTGTAACCTTGCAAAAAGTAATAAATATCAAAAAATGTTTATTAAATTTTTTAACATATGTTTTTTCTTATTTCAACCTTAGTTGCTAAAAATGATAATTAAAAAGATAAGTTGATGAAAATCTTAAATAAAAATCTTGTCTAATATACACTTACTTGGATATCCTATATTTGAACTAACATACTGCATAAACCTTTGAAAAAACGCACTCTCATTTTCGTTATCCCATTGGTTATATTTACGACCTAAATATATATTATATAACTTTTACAGCCACCCACGAAACCTAAAAGATTGCACATATATCTAATTGCCTCAAATGCCCCAAATTTTACCGTTTTATTTGGGCTTATGTCTGAACGTAAACTCGATACAATAAAATGAAAGTTTAAAACACATTTATTAAAACTTGAATAATCGAAAGTTGTCTAATTATTATATAGAAAATAAGAAATTGTTTGTTTTTAAATATTTTCTTGCTTTCTGTGCTCAAATAAGTATAATTATATAACGATCCCTACCACGTCCCTGGTAGTACCGCGACCAACTCGTTTCTCCGCGCAGCGGCCTTGTTCGTCAAGGTTCGTGTTTCGGAGTTATAGAGTGGAGAGAGAGTTATAGCCACAAATAAGTAGCCTCCTCGTTTGTAGTGGCCTTCTCAGCCTTGAGGAGGTGAATTAAAATAAAAAAATAAAATAAAAAACTGTTAATAACAAAAAAATATGAAAATAACTAATTTGGCTTCCCCACTTTAAATATCAGTTGATATTTATAGTAAGGGAGCTAATCCAAGGTTATAAATAAGGACAACCATTTCATTATTAGGTTCTCTTTTCTACTTTTAAATTGTGGGGGCAGGGAAATAACACATTTAACACCTCCACTTCAGCAGCTACAGAATTTTTTTTTTAATGATATGTTTAGTTTAATGTAATCTTAAATAAATCATTTTTTTTTAATTTAATGCGACCATTAAAATTAAAGTCTTTAAAATAAGTAAAAATAACTTAAAATAAGTAATACAGATATAAATTACAAAACTTTGACTTGTGCAATAAAAGTTATACCTGAGACAAAACTTTTTTTAGTTTTATTAATTTGGTTAACATTAGTTTTAAATTCAAACTCCGATTCGCTTGAATTGCTTTCATATTCAGTAGAAGAATGATTTTCAAGACTTTCATTTGCAATTTCTGGAACTAGAGTACAGAGTAATAGTAAAAAATTATTATTACTAAATAAAAATATTCAGTATAAAGGAATCATTTAAAATACAAATAAAACATTATTTACAATAAATAAAAAATATACTAGATAACTAAAAATTTAAATAAGATTCATACCTTGTTTATTCAAACTGATTGGAGTGCTACTTCCAACACTAGCCTCAAGTTTTGCCTTAGATCTAGTTAAAAAAACTTTAGCTAGTTTTATTGGCTTCTCTTGTTTTTCTACAAGTCGATTTTTCTGTTCTTTTTTATCAATATTTATTGTTTTTTTTAAATCTTGCTTTACTAAAAAAAAAAAAAGATTTATAAATATAAAATTAAAATAACTTTTGCTTTGGGTTGACATTTCTTTAAAAAAATTATTCAAACAAATTAAAAATATATTTATACATACAGGAATTTAGATCAATAGCTTCAAGATGTTTTCCTGTTGAGAGAAGCTGTCGATGAGCTGCCGGAGCTTGATATATTGTCTTGTTAATTGTTTCACTGTGCCCAAAGTAATCATATTCCAAACTCATTTGGGCATCTGAAACTCCTAAACCAGCCACTAGTGTAGAGAGTCGATGGCGATTATTTGTACCAGTAACTTTTGATTCATCTATCAAGTTAAGTTGCTTGATTATATTTTTTAGACTATGCCATCCAGAGCAGTGATAAAGTGAAGATTGTGTACTTGGGAAAATGTAAATGTTATTTGCTGAAACTCCAGTCTGAGTTCTAATATCAGCAGAACCTAACAACTTCATTGCTTCAATAGTATCAGTTGGAATTAAAACAGGGACTGAATGATTAACCCCTTTCCCAGACTGATAAGTAATTTTCATCCCATCTTCTAATTGACTTTCAGATAGTGTATTTTTTATTCTTTGTTTGTCTAGCCATACATTATTCAAAGCATTTTCCCATTCTTTAATTGTTAGTCTTGCAGGTTCACCACCTCGCCTGCCATTAAAAATAGTTAATCGAGCACAAGCACAGTCTCTTAATTGAATAAAGGAAGGTCTATCTATTATTTCATATTCGCTAGTCAGTTTTTCCATAGTAGTAACAATATGATTTCTTATAGTTTGAATATCTTCTTCTATTGGAAGCTGTGCAGGTTTTTTATGTTTTTCGTTTCTACGTTTATTTAAATCATAAACAGCGTCTGAAAAAATTTCATCTTTCATAAGCCCAAATATGTACAAAAAATTTGAAACTTCTTTAGACAAATCATCACGATTTGTCTTTAAGTAATATCCCATACATTTCTCAGCTGAGTCCTTAAGTAAATAATAGATGCCACTTTTTAAACCAGATTTTATCTTATCTTCACCTTTATCGGTATAATTTTCAATGGCTTTTTTTAAATAGTCAATATTTCCTCTCAAAAACATATCACCAGAATTACCTGTTTTTTCAATTGTAAATCTATTATAAATGTTGGCAAGCCGGCGCATTGAGCACCTAACCGATTTCTCAACCTCCAACTTTTTATCAAACCTTCTTTTAATTTTACCATACAAGCGAGATCCTATCATCAAAATAATGCTATCACTTTTAGCTAGCGTGCCAATTTCATCGTTATTTATGACATTTAAAATATTTAACTTGAAATCATTGTCTAAAGAATTATATTTATCTATTTCCCCAATTGCAATAGATGGTATTAAGGTTTGACAAGAATCTTCACCGCATTTTATCTGATGTCTGGTTTTATAACTCTTTGCAAAGAAACCTTTGCATTTTAAGCACATTAGCAAGTTGTTTGAATTTAAGAATTTTTCAGATTGCATATTTTTTTTGGAACGTTGTGCTCTTTCCCTTAGAAACTTTGGATTACTGTTTTGGACTTCATTTAAGTTAAACTGATGAATCCCTTGTTTTTTAAAAGAAATGCTTTACGACGCTCTATTTTAGACAATTTAAAAGCCTCACATATTCTAGGATCACTTTTATGTGTTAGAAAATGTCTTGAAAGTGCTGATTGATGCACACCACATATAAAACAAGGTCGCTTTGGTTTTGGATTACTTTTTTTAGATAGTTTATTGATTTCGTTTTTTGGTCTCACATGTGAATTGTTTAGTTGTCTAACCTTAAAACAAATGAATTAACTAAACATAATAACATTAAATAATAAATAATAACTATTATTAAATAGTATATGAAAAAAAAATTAACAACAAAACTTAAAATCAAACGAAAATTTCCACTAACTGCAATAAAATAAGACTAACAAAAAACAAAACAAATAAAATTGATTATTAATAAATAACTTGATAGTAAACACTACTAAAAATATATTTATTATTACTTTAAAACATCCAAATTTAGGATGTATATACATTTCTTTTGAATTTACAACCAAATTTTAAAAAACTCAACCTTTTCATCAGATGAGCTGTTGTTTGACTTAGAAGGTTCTGTAGTTAACAAATCTTCATATAATACTTTATTTGTATCTTTTACCAAAGCATGAGACTTAAAAAAAAATAACAAATAACAGTGAAAAACATAGATAACTATTAACATAGATACTATTCAATAATAATTTTTTTAATTAAAGTTTATTTTTTTTTAATCTAACTTGAAAAGTTTGCTTTACTTGAAAAAAAAAACTTGCCATTTTACATTAAAAAGTGTTTAAGATTTAAAATGATAAAATCAAAAAAAACCTGATATAACACAGGTATATGTGTTGATAATGTATAAGGATTAACCGTTTTTACAGACAAATTTTTGTTTTTTTTATTATTTTTTATTTTCTATACTTCTTTAGTACATATCCCATGTCAAACAGTTTTATTCTTGATTTTTTCAAGTAAGATCTTGAATACTATTTATTGTAGACTGGCAAGACTTGTTTTTTCTTTATAAACACTTAAATAACTTTTAAAAAGTTTAATTTCAGGCATATCCGTCAAAAATATCTGGTACACCTTTAGTTTTGTAAGCAATTCTACAGCTGCTGAGTCTCGCATACCATTTTTCACACTTAAAATTGCTTTTTTAAACTTTTATTGTACAAAATTATATCAAAATTATAACTTATTCTAAAGCAGATCTTTTAATTTAACTTAAAAAATTTTAATAAAAAATTTATTGAAAATAAACTGTGACTTATAATAACAAACTTAAAAAAACAATATTACAACAAAATCAATTTCATGATTTGTGCTACAGTCATCTGTCTCTTCTCCACTTTCAAAAATTTCAAGGTCTTCATCGCACATTAAACCAGAATCGTTAATAATAGATTTCTAAATATGATATATGAAATATTTAATTAAGAAAGTACTATGTTAAAAAGCTTTACACAAAGTCATTTAATCTTAATCTAAAATTCACAATACTTTTAAGCTAAAAACTTTCTAAAAACCTGGTTTAATGGACCAAGGGATAATGGAAGAAAAACTTCACTCTCATTACTGCACTGATCTTCATCTACATATACACATTTTACTCAAATTATACAAAATGAAAAATAATCATGTTGGAAAAAATATCAACTCATTATTTCAAAAAAATTGTTTTAGATATTTTGAGACTTTGAAATAAGATTACCTGAATCAAAGACAACTAACTTTTTCCAATAGTCAGAGTCTGACGAATGAACTGGCGATGATGTAAACATTCTTAGTTCTGAATTATTATTAATTGTTTTAAATTGAATAACTAATAAAATTAAATGAATAATTATTTTAACAAATATTGAAGTTGTTATTATATTTAATAAATTTTTTTTTTCCAAGGAAATAATAAAAAAAGTTTTGTAAAACTTGAAAATTTTATGAATTAAAAAACTTAGATGTTTAGAAATTGCTGATAACAAATTATACAGTTATATCATGTTATATCACAGTTATATCACAGTTATGCTGATAATAATTTACCTGCGTATAATAAATGAAACAGAAAAAACCCACTTGTCAACTCTTACAAGAGGTATTAAAGTCATCAAAAGAAGCAGCTATAACGAGTTAACAATAATTTAGTTAATATTTTACATATAAATTTTATATTGTGTATATCTATATAAGTATATAAATTATACAGTTATATATATATTTATTATATATCTATGATATACTTATAAATATATATTTATTAGTACATTATAGATATAAATAAATGTCTATATAACATGGCTATATAATAATAAGGCTGTATAAATTTTATATTGTGTATATCTATAAAAGTATATAAATTATACAGTTATATATATATTTATTATATATCTATGATTATCATAGATATATAATAAATATATATATAACTGTATAAATGAATGAATGCAAATAAAAATAAAAAAAAAATAAAAAAATTACCTCGGTTGTGTCATTCATTTAGTGAGGGTGGAATGAAGATGTTATAATATTGCTTCTGTCTGATAATGTTCTTAGAAGCTGAACTGCTTTGGTGTAGCCTTTTTTTGATTTTTTTTTTACATGTTTTTTAACGTTTTATGTAGATTTAGATTTCTATACAGAAGTAGAATACTTTAAATGAGATCTCTAATGAGTAAAGTCTCTTTCAGACTTGTGGGTTTTTATAGGTAAAATCTTTTTTTAGTTGACCGTGGACAGAGTTAGCTGTTGGTGTTTGCATATCACACAACCTCAAATGGCACATGCACGATGAAATCATATTTCATCGTGCATGTGCCATTTGAGGTTGTGTGATATGCAAACGCCAAGATCTATTTTGTTGTAAGTGGAAATGAGAACTGCATTTTATGTTGAGTAAAAATGTATTATTAGTGGTTGGATTTTTCGCCAGTAGTCCACTTCTGCTCCACTATAAAGTTATTAGCTTACACGATTTACATACACGCGCATTTTCTCGCGTTCTTTAAACGTGACTTTTTCTATTGTTTTGAGAATCACATTTAAAAAATTATGAAAATTGTAATGCCAATGACTTTTTTCTCGTATCGTTTTGTAATTGTTTTATGATTTTAGTTTTTTTTTTGAGAGGTTGATAAATTAAAATCATTATAACAAAGTTATTGAATCTTTTTTAGTCTTTTTTTAAGATAAAAGTTGGATTTACTCGCAAAACATCTTTTTTCGGTGAATTATTAGAGAAATCTAAAATATGCATAAAAACAAAGTAAATAAATATTTTTTGCTATTTGATATATATTCAAAATATAACACTGATCTTTTTATACACACTTAAAATGATAATACACTTGAAATAATTATATAATATTTAATCAACGTTAATAAACTTGATTTCAACATAACTACTTCAAAACACCATTATTTGTATATAAATAAATAAACACGCATAAATCATCTCTTTCTAATAATATTGTTTAATTTGTCTTTAACAATCTTATGCCCTTTTCTTCGAAGACAAGGTATACTTTCAATAATTTTTTTAACATCAAGAAGCGGACACGGAATCTTTCTCGTGATATATATCGAAAACGCTTTACAAAGTGATGCGTTTTCTTCTTCCGACCAACCTTTCCAAGTTTTTTTTGACTAAATAAGAACACTAAATAATAAGGAACAACAAAAATTCAAATACTAAAGATTTGTTTATAATTTTGAAACGAATTTTTCTTTTTAAAGAGAAAAGCAAAGTTAATTTAATTTCAAAAGATAACCTCTTTGTGCATGTTTAGTCTTTTATTTTGTATTCTTTTACGTTCGACATTAATTAATTCATTTTCAATGACATTGCTATTTTTATCTAAAACATTGCTATTTGCATCTCCAACATCTTCATCTGAATAAGTGCAAACATTAGCACTTCCTCCTGTATTAACATTTGATATCCCTATAACCAATAACGAATAAATGGTTACAACTGCAATAATTTATAAATTTGAATAAAGGGCATTACCTGTTTTTTAAATATTACATGAATCAACATTAAACATTTGTTTTAAAATCAAAATTGTTTTAAAACACATTTGTGGGTGCTGTTATACACCTATTTTCCACACCTGTTTGTCTTAAAAGCTTTATTATTCATTATATTTATATTTGTAATATAAAACGACACTAAGCAGTTAAAAACAGATTTATAACAAGGTTTTTTAGCATTCAAAAAGACTATTTTACAAAACGGGATATTTAAGACAAACATGAGGTGCCTGCACAAAATTTCACAAAAAATTGTAAAAAGTGACAAAAATTGTAAGTTAATTCCATTTCCACATTCTACTGAAATTTTAAAATCTAAATATTGGACTGAAAAAAAAAAACTTGTTGGCTTAAAACTGGAAAAAGGAAAATATCAGTTTCTACTGATGCTAAGAGTAGTTTTTTATTTCATTCTTAAAATGAGTTTACTCAAACTTAAGGCATTTTGCGAATGATCGCCTTAACTAAATACTCACATACTCACATACTAAAAACTTAATACTCACCTTAACTCACCTAAAAAAAATTTTATATGACAGGTAACCAACATTTATATGCAGAAAAATAAAGTCAAATAAAAAATAAAAAAAGTTAAGTAAAAAAAACAAACCAATACCTTCAAAACTATTTTGTAATAGTGAATCGATTTTCTTATTTTGAATGCACCTTGCATCGCCATTATCCATAGCAAGAAGAACTTTTGCTACTTTTGTTAATTCAATAGTAGAATCCTCGAGTCGATACTAATTTTGATGAACATCTTTAGTATGCCCCATGTGATTTGTGAGCCACAAAAGCTCAGCATTATTAATGTCTAACAACTGCAGAATGGTTGCCAAATACTTTCTAGTTCTAGTTGGCGTAATAAGCTTTGGCTTCGATAAATTAAGCTTTTTTGTTAAAGATTGCAGCGCGTCCCAACCACGTAGTTTAAAACAGCCTGTACCACGGGCAAACACATAATTATTTTTATGAGAAATATTAGCATATTGCCTTGAGCTGATTGATAGTCTGATTGCACCAACAACTTCCTCAGTAAAAATAATCGGAACTAATGCTTTTACAGAAGAACCTTTTTTTCTATCGGATCATCTAAAGCATCTATGTCAGTTTGGCGTTTCCACCTGGCTTTTTCTACCATATCCCAATCTGCTAATGTTAACTTTCCAGGTTCTCCACCTCGCCTAGCATTAAATGTTAGTATTCTTACATAAGTAAGTTTACACAAATGAATATATTCATTAGATGTAAGAATCGTATTGTTTAAATACTTGCTGATTTCACTAACACAATAATTTCTTAAAACTTTAATGTCACTTTCTTCTGGCAACATATCTGGTGCATTTGCTTTTCGTAAATCATATACACTACGCGCATTGTTTAAAAAAATACTGTAGTCTGATTCCAATAGCTCTAAAAAATTTCGAATGTTTTCAACCATGTCTTGTAATCCTAATTTCAGGTACTCTAATTTGACTATTATAGCTAAAGTTTTTAATGAATATCCTATTATTAAAACAAGATGAGGATTTCCAATTTTTCTTGGTCCACAATAATCTGCACAAACTTTCATAGAAGAAACAATGTTATCATAGTTTTTTGTATTGACTAAATCTTTGGCAGATGCATCTTCTGCATTAAACTGTTTTCTGTACTGCAACAATAACTTGGCTAAAACTCGAAGTGCATAGCCTACATCATGGTAACGATCTCTTTCTTTTTTACCAACTTCAACTGCTTCATAGGTCAATAATAACTTATCATTGCGAATAACAAGGTGAAGTTTACTATGTTTCATAGTTGTAAGTATATACTCATGTACAATTTTAGCATTGTCGGTCAAACTGAATTGGCCTACTAATATTCAAGAAGCTTTAATATAACTTATTTCCTTGTTATCACTACCACGCCTAAAACATTTGAAACATTAATACATATATAATATTTATAATTCATTAAATTATTATCATTACCATTTTTTACATTATTTATCATTATTTATAATTCTCTATATTTATAATTTCTATTATTATATTTAATAGAATTAGAATTTATAATTGCCTAAAATAAAAGGAGCCTTATATGGTATTTAGTTTAAAATTGCTCAGAATGTACGATTTAGCCGGAGTCTCAGTTACAGTGCACCATAAAAAATATATTTTTTAAAAAAAGATTAGAACAAAACAAAATCTAAGCTGGATCTTACGTGTTTAAAAAAAGATGAATGTATTTCCTGACAAATAAACATATTTAATTAGTTTTAAATAATACATTTAATTTTAATGAAATAGGTATATAAACATCATTACTGAAATTTAGTATGTTTTTTTCTAAAACTTGTTTTAACTTAATCTATAAAAAAAAAAAAAAAATTAATGCACCTTAACTGAGACTTTAGGAAAATCATACACTTTAAGCCAGTGTAAACTTTAAAATGGTATAAAAAGATTAAAAGAGAGTCTCTCACAAAAAAATAATTTTTGATGCACCATAACTGAGACTCGGAGCAATAGGTAAATTATACTGTAATTTACCTATTGCTATTGGTAATTTACCTATTACCTATTGGTAAATTATACTATAATTTACCTATTGCTCCGAGTTTCAGTTATGGTGCATCAAAAATTATTTTTTAATGAGAGACTCTCTTTCAACCTTTTTATACCATTTTAAAGTTTACACTGGCTTTAAGTGTATGATTTTCCTAAAGTCTCAGTTAAGGTGCATTAATTTTTTATAATTTATAGTTTTTAAGCCATTATAAACTTAATAAATGCCGAGACTCTTTTACTTCCAGTTAAAATATATAAACAAATGTTCCACTGTTAAAACGATAACATACATTTTATAATTTTTTTTTATTTATTTTTACTAACTTTAATTCTTATTTGTACCTTTATCGGTACTGCGCGTGGCACATTCTAAAATTGCTACGAAACGACACAACATTTTTTAAATCTTTTTTTAAACACCGTTACTGAGACTTATAAATTTAATTCTTTTTCAAGATTAAAATTTAATCTCTTAAAAATATCTTTTTGATGCACCGTTACTGAGACGTTTGGAAATCATACTTTGTAAGCAATTGTAAAGTTAATAAGGTTCAAGACTCCTTCACTTTCAAGAAAAATATTAAAAGAACATATGTTAAATTATTTAAACGATAATATTTTTTATAAATGCGTTAAGAAAGAATTTACTTACATTAATTCTACATTGCACCTTTAACGGCACTAAACGTGGCTCACTCGAAGAAATGTTATGTAATCGCCAAATTTATACAGAAAAAGATTCGAAACCATGTGCCGGTAAAAACGACTTTATAATGAGCCGGGGAAAATACAAGAACCCAAATTTTAAAAAGTGCAATCAAGTGCTCGAATGCAAAAATGCAGATACATTTTGAAACTTAGTTTTGAAAAAAAACTTCGTGAAAATGATTTAAACAAACTTTATTATTTTCATTTTTTTTAAACTTACTACTAATAATTAAAAAGTAATAAAAATATACAAACCTCCGTGTCATGCATTTTAGAGTTGAAGTTTTTCATATATTCAGAAATGAGGCAAACTTTTTCTTCTTCTTTTTTTTTTTTTCATTGCACCGTTACTGAGACTAAAGGAAAACTCAAATATTATAACCTATTGTAAACTTGATTACGATCGAGACTCATTTATTATCAAGTAATAACTAAAAATATAAAATTCAATAATGTATTAAAAGTTTAGTATTTAATTTAAAGTAAATAAAATACGTTTATGTTTATTTGTCAGAAAACACTTGATTTTTTTTATCACTGTTACTGAGATGTATTAACTTCTTCTAGATTTTGTTTTGTTTTAATCTCTTAAATTTTTTTTTTTTTTTTTTGATGCACCGAAACTGAGACTCATATTAAATTAATATTTTTTGAACCAAGAAATTTATAATTTGGAAATAGAAATATTCAATTAAATATTAAAATCATTTGATAATATAAAAGTATTCCAACTAATATTCGAACCATATTTTAAACAATAACATTCTGTTTTTTAATATCTAATAATTAAATTTACTTACATTAATTCTATATTGCACCTTTTTAATACTGCTCGTGGCATACTCTGAAATATAACTAACTCGGAACGACAGAATATTTATGCAAAAATAATACTTGTAAACCATCTACTAGAAAAAATTACCGATGAAAGCGCCGAGAAAGGTACTAAAGTTAATTCAACACGAAATTGAACAAAAATGTGCAATAGAGATCTATTATAGAGCAGGGCCGACGACACCAGGAGAAAGAGGAAAAGGAGCACAGGACCTCCCACTAAAAGATCTTTTTTTTTTTTTTCGGAGTATCTAGATTTAGACGACTTTTTTAGAAATTGATGATTGTGTCCTTCCATTTCAAAACCCGTGACGTATGTCCTGTAGAGTACTGGAACGCAAAAGAACAAAGAGACATTTTAAAAATAAGTCTTGAAGAAAAAGTTCGTAAGGGAAAATCATTTATATGAATTTAAAAAAAAAAAAATTTATCTTACTAAACGAATTAAATAGAAATATCAATCAACAAACCTCCGTCATGTGCTTTAGTTTAGTTATAGATATTTTAGATTTTCAAACAAAAGGCAAATTTTTCTTGTTATAAATTAAACTATTAATTCATATAATTTTGTATTCATACTTAAACTTTTTTCTAATAATGTTTTATTATCTTATCGAAATATTTTTGAAAAAAAAAATTTTTATAAAATTGGTCTTATTAAAAACTTTTGTATTTTATTCAACAATTATGGTTTTAAATGGAGTGAATCTTTGAGGCAATGATCTACTTGTATCCTTATAATGAATATCTCATTCTTCAATCGTTTTCGGAGTTTAACAGATTATTTTATTTTTCTATAAATTTAATGACATCTGATTCTCAAGTAAAATTTCCTTGTAACAAGCTAAGAATAAATTTCTGAATCTTCAAACCCATATTACTTACTTTTTTTCTGTTGAAAAAATATAGAAATATATATTTTTTTTTAAAACTATATTTGCATGAATAATACAAGCATTCAAGTTCTTTGATGCAAATTTATGAATTGCTGAGCATTAATCGTATATAATTTTTTTTATTTTAAAAAGATAACTTATTGTTGACTTTATTAAAGATAACTACGCTGGTAAAGAAAACTTTGTATGATAAAATTTGTCAACTACTGCACACTCGCGGAAAGTGTAGAGTTTTCCTCCATACCAGTGTGTAGCTATCGCTCCTAGACACAAGTGTAAAATTATTTTGCACAATTTTGTGCAAATAACTCCAAACTTCTGTGCAGAGGTTGATTTAGAAAAAGGTAATTTCCACAAAAGTGTGCAAAATAACTCCACACTTGTGTCTAGGAGTGATAGCTACACAAAGGTGTGGAGGAAAACTCCACACTTTCTGCGAGAGTGTGGGAGTTTCTTAAGAAGTTTATTAAAACTAATCTGTTGCTTCTTGCTACAATTTATTTCATTTTAATTGGAATCTTAATTTAGTTTGCAAAATTACCTGTAAAGTATTTTACAGATAGTTTAAGTAAAAGGAATTTTTTACATAATATAAAACTCATTTTTGTTTCAACGCAAAATTTTGTTTATTCAAAATATATCCAATCCAATTTTAAATTGCATATATTTAAGCATAAAGTTGGGTAACTTTACACGCAAAGAATTCTACATAAATATATATATTTTTTAAATCTTAAAGTTTTTGTTATCTTAAAAATGTTAGAAATAGAAGTACAACGCCAACCACCAAGAATTACAAAAACTGAGTTGCTTTTAAACATTCTTAAAAAAACTTTCTAAAGAATAATTAATTAAAACAAACAAACAATCAAAAAATTAACCTTCCTCCCTTTTCCCATTGTAAACCTTATAATGATTAAGACTCCTTTTTTTAAAAAAAAGATATATATATAATAAACATTATAATTACGTTAAAAACTCGATATTTTATTTAAATTGAACTTAAATTGATTATGTTTATTTGTCAGTTATTACATGCTTTTTTTTTAAGCACCGTAACTGAGACTTATTAACTTGATCTTTTATTTAAATTTTGTTTTATTTCAATCTCTCTAATGTATAATTTTTTGATGCACCGTAATTAAGACCTGAGAGAAGTCAAGCTTTCTCAGCCGTTGTAAACTTAGAAACGGTTTAGAAACCTTTATTTTCAAAAAGGTATAAAAATAAATATTCTAAAAGTTAAATATTTAATTTAAATTGAACTAGGACAGATTTTGCTTATTTTTCAGAAATTACATGCTTCTTTTTTTAAGCACCTTTACTGAGGCTTATTACATTTATCTTTTTTCTAGATTTCGTTTACGTAAACAAAATAACGCTTGAGAAACCTCAATATTGTAAACTAAATAACTAAAACTCAATATTAACGTTAATAATACAGTAAACTCTATCATGGTTGAGAAACCTTTAGTTTCAAAAATACATATCAAATGAATATTCTAACCATGTATTACTTAATTTAAATTGAATTAAAAACGTTTATGTTTATTTTGTTACGTATTGCGCGCTTTTTTTTAAACCACCGTTACTGAGACTTATTACTTTAATCTTTTTTCTAGATTTTGATTTGTTTTAAACTCTTAAATGTATAAACTTTAGATGCACCGTAACTGAGACTCAAGAAAGAGACTGAGAAAAGTCAAATATTCTAAGCCATTGAAAACTTAATAAAGGTTTAGAAACCTTTAGTTTCAAAAATATAATAAAAAAAAAAAATTCTAATCATGTACTTAAGGTTAAATATTTTATTTAAATTAAATTAAAAACGTTTATGTTTATTTTGTCACGTATTGCGCGCTTTTTTTTAAACCACCGTTTCTGAGACTTATTACTTTAATCTTTTTTCTAGATTTTGATTTGTATACAACTCTCTACTGTATAATTTGTTGATGCGCCGTAACTAAGACTCATAGATTTGTTTTAAACTCTTAAATGTATAAACTTTAGATGCACCGTAACTGAGACTCAAGAAAGAGACTGAGAAAAGTCAAACTTTCGAAGCCATTGTAAACTTAATAACCGTTAAGAAACCTTTAATTTCAAAAATATATAAAAATAAATATTCTAACCACGTATTAAAAGTTTAATGTTTAATATAAGTTAAATTTAAAATGTTTATGCTTACTTGCCACGTATTTTTCACGCAATTTTTTTTAAACCACCGTTACTGAGACTTACATTTTTTGAGTATACATTTTTTTTTACTGAAATATTAAATTGTATCAAGTGCTGGACAAGTTACAACAAAATTGTATTAACTTGAACAAAGCAGTACAGCAAGACATTTCTTAAACATCAAGACGATGCAGACACCACATTCTCCGAGAAACTATTCCACACATTAACAATTCTATTTGAAAAGAAACACTTTGAGCTGTTTAAACTACAATGGTGTTTGTACAGTTTAAAGTTATGACCTCGATTATTCAAGTAAGAATTGAGAATAAGAATGTTTGATAGGTCAGTGTCCAGTTTACCGTTAAGAATTTTGTAGCATAAAACTAAATCTTTAAACAATCGTCGATATTCTAACGTGTTAAGCTTTAGTATGGCTAGACGCTTATCATAGGAAACTGACCACAGACCAGCAATTCTTTTAGTAAAGAAACGCTGCACTTTCTCAATTTTATTAATCAAACATATAGTATAAGGTGACCATACTAAAGAGCAATATTCAAGCATAGGTCGTACATAAGTACAGTAGGCTTTAACCATCAGCAATCTATCTCGTGAATAAAAAGATTTTAAAATAAGAAAAGCTCTTGACATAGCTTTATGTACGATAAGATTGATATGTTGTGTGATTTTGAGATTTTATGTATAATTTGTTCATGCAACGTAACTGAGACTCAAACTTTCCAAGCCATTGTAAACTTAATAACGGTTAAGAAACCTTTAATTTCAAAAAAATATAAAAATAAATATTCTTTTCATTTGTAAAAAGTTAAAAATTCAATATAAATTGATTTTAAAATGTTTGCGCTATATTTTTTTAAACCACCGTTACTGAGACTAATTACGTTAATCTTTTTTCTAGATTTTGATTTGATTTAAACTCTCAAATGCATAAACTTTAGATGCACTGTAACTGAGACTCAGAGAAAAGTAAAACGTTCTAAGCCATTGTAAACTTAATAACGGTTGAGAAACCTTTTATTTCGAAACTATATAAAAAAAGATAATCTAACCATTTATTAAAAGTTAAATATTTTATTTAAATTGAATTTAAAATGTTTATGCTTATTTTTAACGTGTTACACGTTTTTTTTTTAAACCACCGTTACTGAGACTTATTACATTAAC